GGAGGCTGTGAAGGTTTCTGTCAGGTCTACTCAGTGTTCTGGACCACTGTGAGACACAAGACTCGCCTCAAGCGCTTCGTGCTTCTGTGGCTGCAGAGGGTAGATGGAATGTAAGTGCCATGCTGAAAAGGCTGTCCAGTTACCCTCTATGGTGTAGTGAGTATTTTTTCCCCCAAAGTATGTTGACAGATAAGTAAACTTGTGAACAAAAATTGCTTTAGACTCTATCAGATACTGTTTTGATCACATCAGAACAACTTGATAAAGTTGTATTGAAGTTCCTCCCTTTCCACGCTGCTCTCTTGACTGATTTATCTGGATTAGTCTTGTTGTGACGTCTAATCTTTCTGCTGGCATCACACTCCCACACTCTTTTGTTGCTGTGTGCTGAGGACTATCAGAGTGGTCATTTTGGCTTTGCATTACCTTTGTCTGTGTACTTACTTTGGCATCATCACCCTTTTTAATGCAGGACATGAAGCTGCATTTGGCATAGCATTGCTTGAATTAATTATGAAGGTGCAGTATAGTTTCTGCAGTTCTTTTGGAGACGAAGATTTGTGCAAATAGTGGCTAGAAATATGCTTTTCATTTTGATATTCAGATTAGCTTGATTCAGATGAATAATAGAGGATTGTAATAACACAAGACAGCGTGATCTGGTGAAAATGTAAACAGAACAAATATTACAAATAATAGAGTAAGGTTCAGTGGATATTTGTATAGAATGTAAGCAAATTTCTTGTTTCTGTCTTCTTCCATTGTGACAACTGCTTGAAATCTAAACATACAGAATTATTTAACTGTTAGTCACTCTAAGTGCCTCCCAAACAGAAAGGAGGAAGCTTGTTATTTATTTATTTTTTTTCTGGCAGGCATTCTCAATATAATGGAATAGCAAACTTGTCCTACTTGAATCTTTTTCTTCTTTCATTCCAAGGCAACACTGTAGACCTTCACCTTGGACATCACATGAGGGAATATCTAACCATTCTATGTTAAACTGAATGTCGAGGATTATTATGGGAAGATGGTTGTGTGAATCTGCCCCCTTAGTTCACCACCTTCTCTCATTCCTTCCCTTGGTAACTTCTGTCACCTGACAGGAGACAAAGTGAGAAATAGCAGCTAAGAAATTGCTAGTGATGAAGTTAGTATTCAAGCCACTTGGTAGTGGCTTGAATGTAGGTAGGAATCCAAGATTATTTTTACCTTCAGTGATCCAGAATGTCTTTGCTTCCTGCTTGAGAAGGGAAAGAGACACAACTGTCCTTTTCCATTTATCTCTGTAGGACAGGGCTGAAATAATGTGGACATGGACACAGACCAGAAAACATGAATTTCTGCATCTCAATCAGAGAAACATTTCCACGACAATGGAAATTGTCTATAGAGAAAGGCTTCTTAAACCTGTAATTATAGGAAATTTGCTACTAGTTTGTACGGTAGGATTGAAAAGAGATTAGTGGAAGATGAGTCATGATGTATGCTATGAAATTAGAGAAAGAGGGAACGCAGAAAAGAAATAAGAAAGTAAGAAAGACACATAGATGGTCAAGAATAGAAAAGTGTATTTTGAAGACCAAAATCATGATTAATGGACAAAAACATGCATGTCCTACCTCACTTGGGACAGGAGATAAAGATGAATTGCTGAAAACATATGCCAAGCTTCAAAGTCTGTATTGGTGTCGCTTTTATGATTGAGTAAAGTAACTTAAAAAGGCAGTGGTATAGCTTTTAAAGCTTTTACTGTTGCTTTGAAAGAAAACTTAATATTTGATTACGTCTGTTTTGTATTTTATATTACCAGAATTTCTCAGTGCAGATGTACTTTAATAAAAAGCATGTTTGTGTAGCAGATTTTTTAGCACTTTGATTTTGTGTTCTTCAAAACTTTAGTAATATTTCTATTGCAGTCCTTTCTGCAGTATTCAAATCCTGGTCTTGTTTGTGCAAAATGATAACTCTTGGGAAGTTGCTTAACGCTCTTTTCAGATGAGTGATTTTACTAGTTAAGCAGGCAAATGTTGTGTGTGAAGTAGGCATATCTCAACCAGGTGGTTATTATTAGATGATTTTTAATGATGCTATTTACAAATAACAAGAAAAAAGACATTTTGGAGTACAACAAAAGCACAAACATATTAACAGCTATGATTCCTGATGCGCTATTGCATACAGCAAGCACTGGTTATATCTTGATTTGCTCTGTGCATCAGTGTATCTCTTTTGAGGCTGAGAAACCTTGAATAGTTTTGCTTGAAGTAATGTATACAAAGTAGGCTCTATCGTAGAGTCAGTGGCCATCTCTTTCTTGATGTGCATTATCCGTGTGGAGGTGCTGCATTACTTGTAGTGTGGGTCAGAAGTTTTTCTTTGCCAGTAATAACAGAAGTGAAGGAAATGGCCCTGGGGAATCAGGTGGAACAACCATCCGCTGTTTCCTTCTTCTGTTTCAGTTATAGATTCACTGGTGACAGAGGTTTAAATGTTTTATGCTTCCATGTATACGTATATATACGTGGAGGCTTTTTGGTCAGAGGTTTTAGGTAACAGGCAGGATGAAGGCGTTTGAGTCCTTGCCTCTACCATTTCTTTCATTCTGAAATGCAGTGTTCCCTGGTGACACTTAGTACATACAACAGTTGGGCCCAAATATCTCCGGTGATGTTCTTTCGGTGGGCAAAACATGGCATGCTCTGCCGTGCCTCTACAGCACAGGGAGATGGCTTTGGGAAGGAAAGAAGGAAAAAGGGATTATAGGCACATTAACAAGTGGATCTTCAAGATATACGGGTTGCTCCAAAAGTAATACCTCCTTTTTTTTCCACTGAAACTACAACAGATATGAAGAGCACCATAAACACAATTTGATAGAGAAAATTGTCAGCCACAAAACGATATTGTGCAACATAGTCCACCATCAGGTATGCATTTTCAATGGTGACAAACAAGAGCCTGCATGCTGCTCATAAAAATCTGCACCTGTTGAGGCGACCCACTCTTTCACTGCTGCTATGATGCCATAGTTGCTAAGAAGATGCTGCCCATGCAGTGCATCTTTCATCAGCCCAAACAGATGAAATCCTGAAGGAACTAAATGCTGGATGTGCTAATACTGTCCAGACAAGATTGGGAATATGCTTCATGGTCTTTAAGCTGATACAAGGCTTGGTGTTGTTGCAGTGCAAGATAAAGGTTCTTCCCTGAGCTGACTATGGAAGAGACATCAGAGCTGATGAAGTGTCTGGGTTACAGGAAAAACAGAAGGATCCCCCCTTTCCTATCACAAAAGAAAGTGCACATCACTTTACCTGCTCAGGTCTTAAACTTTTTCTTCGATGGGGAATTCACATTGCAACTCTGTGGACTGCCATTCTTGCTATGGCTTATATTGGTGACAGCATTTCTCGTCACCAGTAATGATGCAGTCCAGGCAATTGTCGCCTTCAGCCTCATATTGGTTCAGAAGATGGTGACAAATTTGCATACAGTGTTCCTTCTGTTTCTGTGTAAGCATACCTGGGATCTACCGGGTGCAAACTTTGTGATATTCCAACATTACCACATTTCCAGTGCACTGGAGCCGATATTCAGCTGAGTCCCCTTGTGGTAATCCTCCAATTTGTGCAGATATGCTGACTGAGACATTTTGTGGTGTGACAGGTGTGTCTGGCCATCCAGAACGTGGCTCGTTTTTCATGTCACTGTTACCACTGGTGAAACGCACCACCTACCCCTCATGCTGCTCACATCCACTGTTTGATCTCCGTAAACATTCAGCGAGCATTGATGAGTGTCATTGGGTGCCATTTTTTCTGAATGGAGAAGCTCAGTTAACACATCTTTGCTCCATCTGCACTTCCCGTTCTGTCAGCCTGCTCCTCTGCTGCCGTCTGTTGCATAGCAACAAAATGTTACAGGATACTGATGAGAAGGTACAATCTCTACTGCCATACCACCAACATGGTATGGAACCTCTGACAGGGAATAAATAACGTAATAAAATAGGAGGCATTACTTTCAGAGCAGCTGTGATATATCTCCTTTCGCCTTCAGTGTAAAGGAGAGAGGCAAGAGAACAGTTTCCGCATGCCTATGAATGTGATTTTATTTAATGATGACCAAAATGAAAAGGCAGCATATTTAGCAAACTAAAAAGAAATAAAATGTAAAATATTCTTTTAAAAGAACATAATTCCCTGTATACTATTTCTTGTTTGATGAAAATACTAATAAAGGATGTAGAAAATGCAGTTTTTCGGGGAACTGTGAGGATTAAACTTGGCTTTTTTTTGTGTGTGGGGGGTTTTTGTTTTTTAATTTGTTTGCTTTTAAAATTTAATTTCAGGAAATAGCCTCTTGTGTATAGAGATGAAAATTCATTTTTGAGCTCTTTAGATAAATCTTGTCTGGTGGGGCTGGTTTGACTTCCTTGACAGAGTGGAAGAAAAAGTATTCGATTTGTGGCTTTTATCCAAAACTGCTTGAGTTTCTCTTCTGCGTGTCGTTAAGTGCTGAAATTTAATCATGCTCAGTCCATAACAATATACCTGCAATTTAATTTATTTCAATAGTCTGTACTATGGTGGCTGATATTTTTATCCTCAGTAAAAAAGCTTTCCTCACCACATGACCATCTACAGAACTTTACATCTTTCTTTAGTAACCAAGTTGTTGCTTATGACACAGCATAGTTAGATCACCTTGTTGTAAACATGTTTTTATGCCAAGGGCTTATATGAACTGTGGATGATTTTGATATGAGCCTGAATTTTTTAATGCGTCTGGAAATTGCATTCCCGATAAGCTGGCTCATTCTACAATGCATATCAGTGGAGTGAAAGAATGAGTAGGGGGTACCACTAAAATTTGGATTGTGAACACAATAAAGAAAGGTTTTCCCACAGGGTGGTGTTGTAAAATTTTTTGCAAAATTATTTTATGTACAGAAATTCTCGAAGTCAAAATGAATGGTTTCATGTGTTTTTTTTCAGGAACTACAGTTTGAGAGACTGACTCGAGAGCTTGAGGCTGAACGTCAGATCGTAGCGAGCCAACTGGAGCGATGTAAACTTGGATCAGAAACTGGAAGCATGAGCAGCATCAGGTAATGCGTGAACTGCAGATTTCTTTGTTGGGTATTGAAAAGAAGTAGTATTGATCGTGGTGTGGAACAGTTATACAGCAAGGATGATGAGCTTTTAGTAGAGTTTGAAACTTCATTTTTATTTGTTTTATTTTAAAGAAAAGTTCAAGAGCAGAAGGAGTTTGGTGTAATTGTTGTCTGCTTTGTCCAGTAACAAGGCGGTAGTGACGTTTGGAATTTGTTGACTGGCAGCTTGCTGTTTTATTTTATCAAAACTTCGTCAAGGTATTAAAAACTTTAAGGATTCTTTCAGCTGTCCGTAAAGCTGCTGACCTGACATTAAAATGCAGTGATAAAGTACGAATCTTCATCTTTGTTAAACATTGGCGGCCTTAAAGTCAATTATTCTGTACACTGTTTAGATGACAGAAGTATTATTTGAGAAATTGTAACAGAAGGAGGCTGATCCCTTGGTCAGTTTGATACGACTAAAGATTTTGTAGTCTTGAGCTACTTCCCAGCCATTCTTTTTTCTCAGGTGAACTTAATAAATAAAACATGACAGTGTTTGGGTTTCAAGGACCAGGAGAAATGCTGTGTGGACATGTCTTCTATTTGTGGCAGTGCAAATACTAAGTGCCATGTATTTGAATATGGGAGATGAAGAATGATAGACCAAGCTTAGCATGAAGTTTTATGTGATATAAATAGAAAAGCCTGTAAAAACCCTGTCACTATTGGAATAAACTCTTCTTCAGTTGAAGTAACTCAGACTGTACTTCAATTAAAGAAATGTTTGTTTTCCATGGTAGGTAGAAAACAGTCATTCTGCAGAATGCTGCAGATGCAACAGAAATTCCAAATGTATCATTAAAGTAGCAAAACTCAGATGAATCTTTCACTAATTCAACCGCTGTGCATGAAGTTCACTTAAATATAAAACAAGTCTTAACATTAAATCATGAATTAACATCCTAAAAGAAAACCCTGTTCAATTTTATGTATTCTTTTCTACTGGCTACACTTGTATAACAATTAGGAACAACTGCATTACTTTGAGTTATTTAAACACAGTGTAGTACTATGTTTGCACTTGAGGTACATTCTCACTGTGCTTTCAATTTTGTGTATGGCATGCTTGTATTTCAAAAAAGCTACCTGAATCATGTCTGAATAATGCTATTACCTTATGATCCCTACGATTATTTCACATAGTATTATGGAGACTGTGAAGAAAATGTGTTCTTTTCCTTTTTGGTTACTGTTTTTTTTCTGTGAATATCTTTCAGCAAGTTTAGACATTTTAATCATCAGTGGCATGAAGACTGTTCTCCATCTCCAATTGTTGGAGAAGTTTAGTATTTTGGCTATTTTGACTACTAATCTCTCCATAGGACAAGCTACTGCTGTGGAGATTTCATGTAGAACAGTTTGCCCCAGAAATGTTATACTTGGAAGAGTTCAGTATTTCTAGCATTTCAACTAGAAATATTTAACCAAATACTTGAAACAACATTGAAAGCTTATAATTGAAATGTATTCTTAGACTTGCAAGTTGATTTTCGGAATCATCTAGTATTTTCATAATCATCTAGTATGATCTGGTATTTTTTCTGCGTATGCGAAATGATTTTAAATTTTTGTTAGTTTGAAACATATTTTAAAATTATGAGTGGGATTAGAACTATCAAAAATACCAAGTCAGGTCGAATATCAGTCTGGCTGTTGTGCTGACTTTCCGTATGACTGGAGTCTGTACAGGTAGAGAGACTTGCTTAAAGGACCTTTTTGTTAGACATAACCACCTGTGAAGCTCTGCTTCTTAGACATACTTGCTTTGAAACAAGGTTGTTAACTTTGTTGCAAATATTTACTATTTTTAAGTCAACTCTTTTGTTGATACAGTATATTTTGAAGGATTTCACAGCTGTGTTATTCAGCCACTCAAAGTAAACCCAAGAAGTCTGAGACAGAGTACCTGCCCCCGAATAACCATAAAGAAGTGTCATTCATTCAAATGTTGCATCATTTTTATGTTGAATTTTTGCTATTGAGGTCAAGTGACAATATTAAAAGCTTCTGAATCATTCATTAGAAGGCTACTACTGGATTTCCAGTTAACCCTGTGGTTTCTGCAGTCATAATGGTAATCTGTGCAGTTAACAGGTTGTTTTGTGTTTGTTTTTTTACAATAACACAATCAGAAATAATTCTTAAAAACTGTTTCTGTTTAATGCTAAGATAAATTGATCCAAGTTCTTGGGATTGGTAGAAATAAAAATAAAAATAATTCCTTTGAGATTAGAGATTTAGATCTAGGGGGGATTCATTTTGTTCTGTGACTTTTTGTAATAAATATGTAAGCTCACATTAAGATTTAAAGTTTATTTGCTTTCCTGTTTCAGTCAGTGCATTTCAGGCTAAGAAATCCAAGTGATGAGAACAGTTTTCAAAATGTAGATTAAGTTCTAAACAAAGAGATTAAGAGTTTTCAGAATGTGAAATTGTACAGGGGAAACCAGAGATATCGAAGGCTAAAGCAATTATATTTTCTTCTCATTAATGTGCTAAGTGTTTAAAAATTAAAAATGCTCATAAAAAGAAATTCTTACCAGAATTATCCATTTCTGTATCTGGACATGGTGGCACACACCCATTGAGATCAGTTGCAGTATAGGGAAAAAAAGGAAGAGAGCTGAGTGATCAGAAGAATAAATTTGTGGCTAACAAATTAAGAAAAGAACTCGGATTGCCTTAATCTTTCTTGAGCCCAGTACTTGGGAAGTCTGTTTCCCTCTGAAGGAACACTATAGATTTTAGTATCTGTTTTTTTACATAGAGATTTTAAGATATGTAAGTGGACTGTATTCATGATTTCCACTGCACCCAGTACTGTATAGCATTTATTGTAGTGTGTGTTGCTATCAATCTGTTAAGCTTTTGTTTTCCCAAACACAGAGTTGTTTGACTGGTGTGGAAGTGTCTTACTAGAGAGGGTGAGAAAGTCCCCTTCTTCCTTCCTGAGATTTTATCGTAGGAAGTCCTACTTTTGAAGCTTCATCCTCCAGTGTTATGTTTGCTCTCCCTGAGTATAGTTTGTATCATTCTCCCTGCTTGCACCCTTATGCTGCTAAACTTCTAAGAAGGCAGTGGTTTTCTTGTAGCTGGGGGCTGAGTGATATGTTGTAGAAGCTCCCAGAAACTTTCATAATAATAATAATAATAATAATAATAATAATAATAATAATAATAATAATAAT